TATATATATATATATATATATATGTATATGTGTGTACGTGCGCGAATACGTCGCACAACTGTGTTGACATATTGAACAAGTTTCAGCTCGACGCGAGAAAGCGGCGCAAAACAGACGCCGTGGTGATTCGCCGGGGTTACAGTGGTGGTTAAAAGTTTAGAATAACAAAAGAACGTTTCGCAGGAGCGTACGCGAGGACGTGATCGCGACGGAGAAACTGTGAATAATCGCGATGAAAGTGAAAGAATTAGAGAGGAGAAGAAAACGGTGCGCGAGAGAATATTTCGGGATTAGTTGAACGAAACGAACGATTCGTTTAGAATATCTACGATTCATGTGATTGTAAATACATAGTATATAAATAACGTAACGTTAATTAACGATATGCCGTACGTGTTACACTAAAGAAACAAAAAAAAAAAAATGAATAAATAAATAACGTTACTGTGTAATTTTTCGGATCGTAAACGCATTCGAATGTGGGTCTGGCCGCTCGTGCTAACCGACTAGAGTTCGTTTTTCGGGGCAACAGCTGACTATGGATTAAAACGACGCAAACGGGGGCTCCTTTGATCTTTCGTCGCTCGCTGAAACACGCGTTTAACGAACTTCACGCCGTGGTCTTTCGTTCTCTCATTTGGCGAGTGAATGAGTGAACTTGTGTCACCAGATAATAATTCTCGAAGAAGGTATCCTTGATGATTTCAGATATTGGAATTCTACTCACGATATATTCGTTCGATACGTTAACAAGAATAACAAACAAATGGAAAGAAACTAAAAAAGAGAGAGAGTGGCAAAACCGTAGCGAGAAAGAAATGGAGCGAATGGGAGATGTAGAAGGTTGCACCGGCGGGCATGCTTTTTCTGGCGCGTCGGTGCATCGAGACAACAAAAAGGAGTGCAGCTGCGAGCAGCCGCGCTCCTGGATAGCACGGGCCGGCCACACGCGACTAAATAGATGTAACACTAATTAACGCCTAGCGTAAGAACTAACGGATATAAATGGAGGATATATTGTCTGACATAATAACCAGGTGTGAAAGTACACGCGTATACGTGAAGCCCGCTGCAAGCGGTCATTGTATGCAATGACGTAACTAGGGGTGTGCGGCGTGAGCTCCCCGACTGTGCAAAATACAAAAACCAAACGTAACATCGGTTCAACTATGATTTTTGTAAATGTAATGAATTCTGTAACGCGTGATAGTTTTGGTATGACGAGCAAACGGAAAATAGGGTGCGATTCTTTAATAAGTAAACAAAATCATTTCGATTTTCTAGGAAATTACGTATTTTAATTCGCTTATTATTGTTCCAAGAGTTTACAAAGAGATCGTTAACGAACTGAAGCATCGATTTATTAAAAAATCATACGCTATTCCGACTTCTTCTCGTCATTTTTGAAAAGATTCACGCGTACTGAAACAATTATACGATTTTTAAACATTAAGTTGAATACCGAGTACGGGGAAGTCCCGTAATTGTTTCGCCAGAAATATCCTGTACCAACGTTTTATTTCATTAACGCTCCAGAAGTTTCGTCATTATTTTCGAACATTAGACGAGATTTAGAGGAATTATTTTTCCTCCGAAAGGGCTCCTCGTAGATTTAAGCTCATGGGCCCCGGGACGGTTACGCCACTGGCTGTGTGTGTATGTATGCGAGGCGCGATGCATGTAAATCGAGAGCGAGGGAGAGCGAGTGAAAGAGTAAATAGTTGAGAAAGGGATGCGTATACAGGCAGAAGAAGAGAGAGAGCGAGAGAGAGAGAGAGAGAGAGAGAAATAAGAAGAGAAAAAGGGGTTGTTCGTTGGACTGACGCGTGAAGGCGTTGGTCGGATGACGCACGTTAAAATAAAAAGGGGCGACCGAGGACATTCTTTCTTTTACCGTTTATTCCCTTTCTTCTTCCTCGCGAAGCCACTCGTGGCGAAAGATAAAGAGAGAGAATTAAAGATAGGGGCTCGCAACGAGACCACTATTGAGGCTCGCGCCCCCTTTACCGCACCCTTTCTTCGTGCAACAGCCGGGGCCGCGAGGTGGTGAGAAGAAAATTGTTATTTCCGCGCTCGTCCTCGTCGCTCCTTTTATCACAACCGAAATAACGAAAACGAGGGGGCGAAAGGCGGGGAGATTACGACGATGTCGATGATGATTATAACGATGATGATGATGAATTAAATAAAAACGTCGTCTAAGGTATACTAACGTCGTAGAGAGCATTGAATTTTTGTACCATTGTCTATAGTAGCTCTTAAGTGACGCGGAGTTTTCTGTTCTTAGGATGCCCGCCTGTGCAGACTTGAATACGCGTTTATGTATTCTCGGTTTTCTCGATGGCTCGCGGGGCGGATATTGGGTTTCGGGTACCGTTAGAGTTTAATTGGACTTTTGTTCGATCGCGCGTATTATTTAAGAGGCTTGCAGCGATGGGGATGCTCGTGTCGCGGGTGAAAATTTGTTGTTCGTGTTTCGTTTAACTCCGGGTGCGAAGTCTGTGACACAGCGACTCCGCGATCGATTCGTCGATTAAATCCGCCCCGGCGAAAAACGCTTCCGTTCCCGAGAGTCGCGGTGCGCGAATATCGAAAGAAAGATCCTTTTTCGTGTGATGATTGACCGTCCTGACAGTTCGTCGATGTGCTCTTACGCGTAGATACTCGAGTTAGTTTTTTCGATAGTAGGTAATACGTAAAGACAGAGGGCGATGCGATTCCACCGGAGACAAATCGGAATCAACGAACCGGAAGTCGTTTTCTCGACGCAGCTACCGATCAAAGATACAAGGAAACGTTCGAAACACTGTCCTAAATGCGACGTGATAAGTCGTGATCGGTGGTGGACGCTGAGTTGGTTGGTAAAAGATGATCTCACGGGAGAGCATGCAAACTTTGTCTGAGAAACTTGTATACTGCTGCGGCGCGAACGTATTGTTCACGGGGATAGTGGATGGGAATAGAATTGGTTCCGTGGAAGAATGTATATGTATGATTATTGTGATTTTAACCCTCTACCGCTTATTGCCGCTATCAGCCATGGAAGGTGTCATAGGGTACTTATTTGCGACGATCGTGGAGCCTTGTAAGTGTAGATAACTTTTAAGAGAAGAACAAGTATGTACCTTAGATGAATCCTTCTGGTGTAATTCTATTTTCGTTTACTTCTTGAGATGACAGTTTTTGGTTGACAGTCTCGCGCGTATCTTTTCTTTATCCTCGATGTACATACATATTTTCTTCGTGACTGTACTTAATCGTTGCATAGATCCATAGTTACATTTGCGTGCTCTTTCGATGCGTTAATTTACGATAGCCTGCGAACAAAGTAGAAAACAATTTTAGCTGTGGAGGGTTAGAAATAAATAAAGGGTATTACAGTCGTCGATCGAAACCCTCGGGACGGCGAAACGTTTCATCAACCCCTGTAATCGGTGATATTATTATACGGTTCGTCGCGCTGTTCTTGTTGTACTGCGAGTAAACGAGTAATAACCGCCCTCGAGACTCCTGAATTTCCATTATCGACAGTTGGTCTTGAAAGTATCGTACGAGGATGCGAAGATGAAATTTCGAAGTTGTGCGGATCCTATTGATCAGAATTATCCACGGCCCCTTGAAAAGCGTCGCTTCTCTTAGCTCATGAATCAGAAAATGAGAAAACTCCAAATCGAACGTCATCGCAGCTTAGCTGACCGACTTTCCTTTTTCCTTTTTTTTTTTTTTTATTATGTGTTACATTTGTTCAAAATTCGAAATCGATCAGAAATAACACAATCGATACTCTGATTGGCTTAACAAATCAACCTGCCTCGATATTTTAATGACGTCCATGCATCGCAGCCTACAAATGGCGCCAAGCCACCCCTCGAGACTCATCTTCTCATTCGCCTACGATAAACCGATTCCTTTCATTTCCAAGTTGACAGCGTTAACAAATCAGGAGTTTGGATCGCGAATATCGCGACAGAGTAAACCACAATCTCCCAAGAATGTTTCTGTTTTCCGAGAAAGCTGCCCTCTTCGATTGCGCGACAGATCACACGTGGCAATGGGTCTAATTTAATCGTTAACGCGTGCCGTTTGCCAGTTCGAACGTTCGACGAAGCTGATGACAATTAATTATACGCAACGTACAATCGACTAAAAGCGAGAACGACGAGTAAAGCGTGACGAAGGGAATCGGGGAGAGTTGGAGAACGATGGGAGTTAACGTTTTGTCGAGCGGACGAATGAGCGAACATCGATTTAAAATTAACGTATGAATTTAAAAGACGAAAATCATTAAAGTGGAAAAAAAAAAAAGATGAATAATGAAATCTCTCGAAGCAAGCCTCGTCTCGCAGATTCTCGGCTGCACACACCTCGAGCGCTTTAGGGTAAAACGGGAATAGACATTAACGAATCTGCGAGATGATGCCGTGGATAAAACGATTGTCTGGTCGAGCGCGGTTCTGTAACGAGCGTAATTACGAGTGCGTGGGTGCGGTGCCTGTGCGAATGTGAGACAGAGAGTAAGCGACGCGATGAGAGATAATAAATCAATGTTAAACCGATCATTATCGATTTGCAATTTCGAGAGACACATCTTCGTTATCCGCCATTTCTCTGCGTAAGTTCAGCCTCGGTTACTCGAGAGCTGGACGTCGCGGCTTCCACGGGCATGAATCGCAGCTGAATCGACCGATGCTCTCTGCGTGGGGATTTCTCTTTTCTTTTCTTCTTTGTAAAAGGGCTAACGTAACCGTTCGAGCTACCCGACATCAATGTGCTGGATATTTTTAACGCATCGAAGGAAGCCAGATGCGAGAGCATTAATTACCCACGGGGGCAGCATCGTCCCACGTCGAACTACACATTACACACAATTCTCAGCGTTTCCGTTTTTTCAAGGTATCGTGGCAACAGGGACGAGGAGAACTGTCCCGTTCTATGTGTGTAAAAACCATAAAGCTTAATGAAGAACATTATACTATGAACTTACGGGATACTAAATAAAAAGTAAGCCAAACCGTTAAGTTTGCAACGTGTCTTTCTTCCTTCGCGACGACTTCATTTTCTGTTACGATTTCCGGTATTCATTTTCGTCTGATCGAGAATTAAAAGGACGCTTCTTTTTTTTTCAATTGGAGGCATTTCCGCGAAATTGTAGTCGGTATAATGCGCGTATTAAATATCATTATGAAATTCGAAATGTCTTAAAAAATCGATACTCGTTATGGTGTACACCATTTTATTGTATCTCACTTGCTTTCGATGATTCCGGTACTGGCTATAAAGACAACTTTATAGATAAATCATTTCGCATTATTTATTTCTGACCAGATTATCGTGACAGCTATGAAGCCACTGCAATTTTAAATATTAATTTGTTGGAATAGTAAAATTTGCACATCTTTGAAGAAGCAAAGTTACAGATTAAAATACATTGCAGCTTCTTCAACAAAAAATAACAAGTAAACTGCAACTGATCTTTTCTTTTCAAGCTAAAAAGAACGCGGCGAATACGCTGGATAGTCAGTGTGATCGTATTAATAGGAGGATGTGAGGATTCTGTGGTTGGAGATTTATTATGCAGTCATTGAAGAATTTACAAATATTGTTTTTTTTTTTATTCACATACATTCTGTATTTGGTTCTGTCTTAGATAAAGTACCTATTCGGATTTCTTGTTATTGTCACGCGTCTTCATACAATTCTGAATGATTCTTCGAAAATGGACTAGGTAACATGCACTTACGAGACGGAAGAGACCAATTAACGTCGACTGTATAATTAATTCGATAATGGAACTGAACGGCGACATTCCACAACACAGAACAGTTAGTACAAAACCTTCCATGCCGACTGTAGAGAAGAATTTTCCAGCCTACAAATATTTTTATCTTATCAGTAACTTGCTTCGAATTGAATCAACGCGAAGGTCAAGTTTACCAACCAATGCATCTTTGAAGAGCTTGTTGGCTACTACTTCTGGACTAACTAGACCACCAGTTTCTGATATAAGTTTTGTTTCAAGAGGCTTTGATAGTTCCTCTATAGCAAAACCTGGAGTATCTGTGTCCGGAGGTAAACTAAGAGTCACAGAAATATTATATGGTGCAAGTTCCATGGATATGCTTTCAGCCAAACCACGTAGAGCAAATTTTGTACTACAGTAGGCTGAATATCCATATATACCTAGTAGTGCAGCTTGAGAAGAAGTTAAAACAATAATCCCTTCCTGAGAAGCTTTCATTCTTTGGACAACAGCTTTGGTACAATAATATGAACCCATAAAATTGATATCAATCATTTTCTTTAAATCTGCTACAGTGGTATCTTCAATTTTACCACATATTGCAGTACCAGCACAATTCACTAACATGTATATTGGACCCATAGTTCTTTCTAGATCACTTAAAGCTTCTTCAACTGCCTCATAATTCTTACCTATGTCAAGTGATAAATATTCAACTTTTTGAATGTCTTTGTTTTTGCAAGCATGAACTATTTCATGTCGTGCTGCTTCTAATTTTAAAACATCCCTTGCAATGATTGTCACATGTGCCCCATACCTAGCAGCTGCAATTGCAACACATTTTCCTATACCACTGGATCCACCAGTTACCTAGAAGAATTAACTCCATTATGAATGAACAAATTCAAAGAGATACGGCAGACAAGGCAAAACATACAGCATGGATGGCAAAGATTTATGACTGATCGATCAATGGTTCTGCAGTTTAATGCTTTCACAAAAGAAACACCAACAAATTTCATTTGAAAAATTGCGAATGCAACTCAATCAGAATAAAAAATAAGCACAATCGTTATGCTGTGTTCCAAAAATAATTCCTAGTCATTTAAAACACTTCACAAACACTTCAAAACGAGTAAAATAACCACAGCAAACACAATTTTGATGTTTCTACAAATGATACATTCATATAAGGCGTATACTTATTTAACAGAAGATCACCGACGATAATTACTTTAACAGAGGTTAAGTCTAGGTTAGAATTCAATTACTTACAACAACGTGCTTGTTATTAACGCTTCTTAGACGTCCACGCCAAAAATAGTGTCTTGCAAGCAACACAATGATTAGTAAAGCAACAATTAATAGTATTATACTAAATGTTATTGCCATCGTTCTCCTTTACACAACTTTTGATAGCACTATGTCTCGAATATAAACCGATTTATTGCCTACAATTACTCGTCCAGAGGGGACATCGTTTTAACATATTTCAAATTCGTTAACTTAATACAATTGATGAAAGATAACTGTAAACTTGTCATTACTCTAACCGCATAACCTTACTGCGCTTTACTGTATACGGGATGGTCACTATACTAGTATTAGAATAATTAATTTAGTGGCGCTATCGGCGGGAAAACGTCCAAGTTTGTACTAAAAATAGTTCCCACTGTTTCTATTAGATGGCGCTACTAATACCTTTTAACCAATTATTATTTATTTTTAATTTATTAACACTATTCTTTGCTTTAAACCCCTACAAAATATTATTTTAATGTATTATATGAACATTTATTTGCTTTTACATATGAATCCAGATGTATAAATTCAGACTGCGAACTTATAATCATCATTTGCAATAAACGTAACGTAAACTCGTTTTTCTCTCAAAGTAACTTCTTTTAACATAAAATAATTAAATGATAAGAACATCCGTTAATATATCAAATTTATCATTTTTATTGTAAATTATCGACCTTTTAGTTAGTAGAGCCATCTAGTAGTAATAGAAGAAACTATTTTCACTACAAACTTGGGCGTTTTCCCATCGATGGCGCCACTAGCGCAAAAAACTGCAAAGGTTCTGATCCAAGCTACCAATTCCACTATAGTGGATACTATAATTAATAAACTACACATTTTATCCGCTTATAAAATTATTATTTAGCGTACAATTTTATATGCTATCATTAACGCCATCATTTAGAAAGCATAGGGAAGTAAAAATAATAAAGACTATCGTTACAATAAATCAAATTTCACTGAGTACTAAATATAACATTTTATTGATTAGCCACTTATTATTAGAAAAGATGACATATATCAAGAATTGGTTCAAGCAATTGTATTTTAATTTTATATTTTAAACCTTGGGACATTTTGAAAATTTACAATAATATTTTTATGTATATTCTTATTATAATAAAAATATAATATTTTGAATATTTAGAAATTACATATACTTTATCTTAACATTTATTGGCAGAAAAAGTACTTATAGACAGAGGTATTGAATTTCATTTAAAATATCAGTATTACATATGTGAAAGGGATAGTGTCTTTTTACTACTTTTATCGTTTTACAGAACTTCTTATCAAACTAAAAACGATAAATCCTTATCAAATCCTCGCCACTGATACGTGGCGCCATACAGTTATCTCGAGAACTGTGTCAAAATACCTAGTCTCTCGTTGGGTAAAGTTAAGTAAAATTAACAATATTAACCATACTAACTTTTTACATTTTTTATTATAACACAATTATTCCATTAGGGTTAATAATTAATTCAAAGAGGTCAAATGTAAATATTTATATTATTACGAAACAATTAATACACAACAAATATCGATAAGAATATCTTAAATATAAAACATTTCAGTTCAGTTCAAAGGTATTGCACCGACCAGAATGAAAAAGTAACTCATATATAAAACACATATCGATCGATAATTAGAAAGAATAATTTCATGCAAAATTACCAGAAAGAAATTAGCGATATCTCGCGAAAACAGACGATTTTTCAGATTACGATTAAACTGGGAGCAGGAGTGCGCCGTGCAAGGAGAGTCGAGATGAAAAAGCCCCCGAAACGCGGATCGATCCTGCGCTCGGTGCACCGCTCCAGGGCGGGTTGCATACAAATAGGCTCCAACGAAATGCGACAAACCTAAGAAGTTCCTGGAATTAGCCTGTTGTCCGTGCATGGACCGCCTTTTTCTCCTTGCCCGGAGGGTCGGGCAGAAGCTGGAAAGATTATTAATCAGCCAACTTGGGAACTTTAATAGTTCGGGCTCTCCTGGAACGTGGGTGGGGAGCAGATGGGTCGTACGTGCATTCACCCCCGTTACCGAGGGGCAAAGTCCCCGCTTCACCCCTGCCGTTATCCTTCGAGCAAAAGGTCACGTACCACCACCCTGTCGATCGTTCACCTCGTCCTGGGAGTCGCTCCTGGTAGCCAGGTTAAAGCGGAAGGTACGAAGGACCTCTTTGCACTTTACATGCGAGCATGGAAAGCTGTAAGGCACGAAAAGTAACGAGTAATACCGTTTCGAGGGGCGATTTATACCCTCTTGAATGTAAATTACGCCGAAATACTAAAAATATTAGAGCTCGACAAATTTTTTTGGAAAGAATTTACTTGGATTCGTCGTGAGAAATGGGATGATACATGTGGAGGATTTTATACTTTTATTTTCTTTAACCTTTTTGTTTTTAAATTACTTAAAATTGGAGCGACTATTTTTTATTGTGTTTCTATGTTACTGATGAGTAGACTGCGGTTCTTTATGCATTTATAGGAAATTCGAATGTGCAAGAAACTACAAAATGCAAGCAATATGCAAGAATATAAAAAATATTGAATGTAAAGTTCATGTCATAATATTTGCAGAATAAAATAAATTTCTATTTAGGTTCAATTTTTGTAGGCACGTTCGCGAAGATTTTATTTTGCATAAAGATCCGCAGTCTACTGATGAGTTATAAATTCATGTTAATGTTTTCCTACTTTGAAAACTTTCGAGAATATTTTTCGTAGTATTTTAATTTTAAATAGGTGATGATCATTTTTTATTTGAAAGTACATATACATGTTGAGAGTAGATAATAAAATTATTAAAGAATGTTACAGTCTCGCAAACCTTTGTTGTATTTATATTTAACGTATGAGGATATATTTATAACCGTTTTGGTATCCAAAGTTAGTTAAAATTAAGTTATACTCGCAGATGAGAAGATATAATTTACAATATTAGAAGTGATGGATAATTTATTGCTGAGTAAGTCATGATATTTCAGTTTTTGAGACGTGGGAAATGATACTGTATCCTGAAGCCCGTCATCGTGTAAATAATCACGTATTCTGCGAATGTTAATCAAGAACTCATTGCAAAACAGTTCGTACTATAAATTACCCGTTTAGTTTACATTATACGAAAGCATAATATATCAATCCCTTGGAGCAATATAAATGATACGCAGTCTGTTATGGTAGTAAATTATGATTTATTTTAATATCAATGGAAAGAGCCATTTTCAAAACAAGCATTTTTTATCCAATCGAATAGTTGAAGAATTAGAAAAAAGGCTAACAATTTAGAAGAACGCGGAGACGATGGAGACCCTGGAAGTTCCAGGGTTAACAAACGGATGACAAAGAGTCGCTCGATGGTGTTCGATATCGTGTTTCGTTCGACGATCGAGCACGAAACTCCCTCATCGACGGACAATGGCAAGGAATAATGCGACGTGGCAAACAACGAACCCTCGGTATTACATTCCCCGTTTTGACGAAAGGAATATCCAATGTCGTTCGATAGCCATAGCAACGATAGACAGCCTGGAAACACGAAATTATCAGTGGTTGGGTGTCGAATTTCATATTTGCCACGCTGCAATTTCGGAGCTTCGCGCGATAGTGCTAATCAACCCAAGTAGCAGAAATAGGAGAGATTTTATTCGACTTTGAAAACGTTTGTTTAGTAATTAATCCACGACGTTCGATCTTTATTGACCAAATAACGTATCAAAAGTTGTTCGCCTTTCATTCGTTATTCATAATTTTTTTAACGAGAGAAGTTTGCTCGCTCTGCCCCCTGGAGCGTCGAGCAAGAAGTTGGGATCGCATAAAAATTACGTAACGTTGATAGCGTTACGCTGTAACTTTCAGCGCGGACGTGCACCGTGAACCTAATGCTGACTGCAAATACACAGGGACGCGGGACCACGTCCTCCAGGAGTCGTTAATCCTTGAAGAGGACCGATTCACGCGGTGTGTAAAAGTAGGAAACATCATTTTCAATTTTCTTCATATGGAAAACGAATGACCTCTCGCGATCCACTCGCGAATTAAAAGAAGAAAAGAAAATCGTTAATGTAATTCCGATGTTATAAACAATAAGAGACCACGTACTTAGCATGAAGTAAATAAACGTACTAAAAATTAAAACTACACTGCAAAGAATTGTAAAAAAATCTTTTTAAAAATCTACCTTCGGGAAAGTCCAACAATTTCCATGCTCGGAAAAATTGCATACGTACGCTAATTATGCAAATGAGTTAATCCACCCTCTTTCTTATATTCATGATACTGCACAGGACAGCTCTCAGTGAAAAAGCAAAAGAAACCTATTTCTTAAGGGGTTGAAAAGGTACACCACCCCTTAAACGACCCGCGGTAGTTAACCTAATCTACCCCTTTCCTTATATTCTTTACAAGATAACTAATTGGAAAACAAATGAAATCTATTTTAAAATCGTTGAAAAGGTACGCAACCCCAGAAGCGTCTCGTGGCCGTTAACCTCCGGCGCGGTTCCATCACCGAAACGCCTCGATCGTCTGGAAAATTCGCTGGGAGGGTATCCCGCGGTAAATTCGCGACGGGAGTCCCTTAACCCTCCATGGCAACCCCCTACACGGCCAGCGTCGAGCCAGACCGGGCCACGGAGGATCGCGTTGGCCACGATTTCGGACAGAGGAGCGTACGTTGCACTCGCCAGAAGGGAGTGTCCCGCGCTACCCACCCCTGCCCTCCGCCCCCGCGTCAGTGCCCCCTCCTGTGATACCCTAGCTACGACCCTGGGTTCCGTGTCTCCCGGGCTGCACCGGGGGTTGAACGCCCTCGCCTGACCCAGACTCAGAATCGATCTCCATTCGTTGCACTGTTGGCAACCCTCACCCCCTCTGGCCACCTACCCGGCCACCCACAACCCCCAGCCACCCTCCGGAGTACGCCGGGAGGCTCGTCACACTCGTGGATTTTCCAAGAAACGAGATCCGTAACCTTAGAAAAAATGTAACCGTTGGCACCTGGGCCTGTCTCTTCGACACTCCAACGGGCCATCGACTCGCCCATCCCTTCCAGGGAAGTTATTCGGATGATACGGGGTCGAGGAGGATGGGGTGTGTTTGCATTCGATGCGAGTATTTTTGGAAAATACGGTAGAAACGGTATTTATAGAAGTGTAGTTGAATCTGATAGCTACTAGATGGCATGTGCGAAGGTTCATTCGGTCTGTGACCTTTGGTATTCGTTGGTATATTTCTTTTATGAAAAATGAGGACGAAGTATTATTAACCGGGTATTTCCAGCAGGTAATCGGAGATG